CATTAACCTCTCAAATGTTTAAGGGGCATTGCAAAAGCCAATTGGCATTCTATTAAACTGGTATTTGCCCGAAGGTAACACAAAAGCAGGTTAGCTTTATCTTGTTCTATTTCTACCTGCCAATATCCACTTTGTAAGTCCATAGATGAAAAGTACTTACTCTTATCTAACCAGTCTATAGTTTCTTGAATATTGGGTAATAGGCAGATGTCTTTGACTACTACACCATTCATCATCCCAAAATCCACAGAGAGGCTTCATTTTCCATTCTTTTTAGGAACTAATACAACTGGGGATGCATATGGACTATTACTGTCATCTATTACTCCTTCTTCAAGCATCTTTTTTACACATTCTTTTATTCTACTCTGTGCTTCTCTGGCACTCTATGGGGTCTCTATAGGGCTTACTGTCGTTTATCATTATCGTATGTTTAATTTTATTTGTGCAACCATTAGGATCATTTTCTCTTACAAATATATCTCCGTACTCCTCTGACAACCTTATCATTTGTGGTTTTGTTTTGTCCTTCACATTTCCTAAGATAGAAACCCAATCTATCCTGCTTTGTTGTGTCTGTTTCTTAGTGATTTCTAAATTATGCTGTCCTACTGCAGTTAATTCCTCTTTACTACTAGCCTTACCTGCTACTATATACTTAGGAAGTATTACTTTTACTTCATTAATTTTCAACACTTTTATAGGCACTGTATGGCTCTCTCAGACACGTTACTAATACTAATACTTGGAACAGAAGATATAAGCACCTGTGTCAACCACTAACCGACATGCTATACACTCTATTTCTATTAAACCTACTGGTGACACTTCATTAACACTATGGACATTCAATATCTTATTCCATACTGCCATAACTAGATCTACTTTTACTCGGTAATCCCAGTGGAGATTGTGTTTTTTGGCTCTCTATAGGCTGGATTTTCCTGATATTTACTGAGAAATTTCTGTTAGAAGTTCCAGCCATTGAGGCTTTTCTGTTTTCTGAGTTCAGTGAGCTTCTACAATTTTAGGCTTTGTGGCCTTTCATACCACAATTAAAACATGCTATCTGCTCATTTCTCTTCTGTTTTAAGAAACAGTTCTTTGCTAGATGGCCCACCTTGCCAGAATTAAAACACTTAAAGCCATTGGGCTTATTCTGCTTGTTCTGCCAGTCTATGTGATTGCTTTTGCTACTATTCACTACATTTGCTGCAAATTGTGGGGGCTTATATATCTGTTTTTCTCTTCGCTTCTCTCGAGTAGCTACTTCAATTAGATCTAGTAAGGACATGTCAGGCCAAATAACTTTATTTATGTTTCTGTGGGCTGCATTATTAAGCAAACCTTGTCCATGATCTGATTTTAAAGTATCCTGAATCATCAGTTCGTTTGGGTGTTTATAAATCCTGCATAGTATGTTACCTAGCTCTTGTAGCTTATGTACAAACACACTGACTGGCTCACCTCATTGCTGAATCAAGCTTTGTATCTGCATCAGAATTGTATTTGGTGCCTCTCACTTTCTGTATTTTTCTACTATCCCATGCAAAATATGAAAATCTGCAGTTTCATGTAGTTCGTCACAAGCCCTAATATAGTGCTTCACTTCACCTGCTGTTCTCATTATCAAAATGTCTGCTTTTTGGGTATCAGCCCAGCTTGAAATTCTAGCAGCTTAATATAAAGCATCAATAAAACCCTCGACGTCCTCGTCGAGTCTGCCATGAAATAACGGTATTGCACCCATTAAGTTTATAGCACTATCTGGACCTACTTGTGTGAGCTGATCTGCCACAGCTTCAAAATGTGCATCAGCCCTTTTATCAGCTCATGGCCATGCACCCTCATCTGTAGTAGTATTTAGGTTTGTAGTATTAATAGCCATGGCAATTTACCTTTTTGTTACTTAAATTGTCTTACACTACTTATAGTGCTTAAACTAACTTACTTACTTCTACTCTCTTCTTTACTCTAACCAACCTGTCATTAGTTACTCCAAAATTCTTGTCGACTGTACCTGTTTGTAACAAAAGGCCATGTAAGATAATCATTTGGAGTTTGACTTTAAAATCCAGTTACAAATAGATTTATATTAAATCTAGGTATACACTCATGAATGTAGTACACAAGTCACTAACTCGAGAAATTTTACAGTTAGAATAAAGAATTGACTTGCAGACTGAGATTCAAAAACACAAACACTTTAATTCAATATATTAAGATGCTGAGACATAGTTTACCTTACTTTCCTTAATATTAATTGACTTAAATCTATTTCTAACTATGCTATACCACTGAGAGAAATAGTAATTGTTACTTGCATTGAGGTTGAATGGTGATTGTTCTGGGTTGACCGGAAGATGAAAGTCTTCATTGTTTCTGAGAAATATGGATCCGGAAACATTGATCAGCAGGACTACTACTCTATCAGCAACGTCAGAGAACCTTCTGCAATAAGTCCAAGGCATTTTCTTCAGAATTGGAAAGACTGACTTTGAGCCCAAAAATATGGATTTTTATACACATTTTCTTTAATATTCTTATGATTATTCGAATAGTGTATTCATCAACTCACATTTAGATCTGTCATTTAATTGTTTGAAATTTGTTGACTTATCGTAATTCTCGGAACTGAAACCAAAACTAATCCAATAATTGGTTATGATCGAAGACGGTAAATTGGCAGCCTTTTTCCATATATTTCTCCTCGTCTTCCTTCTTATCAAAGTACTGCCTGGTTTCCTTTCGAATGCTTTGTATAATGGCCTGGCATGGCCAGGTGGTTAGGGAGCTCGACTCGTATTCTACGGGTCGCGGGTTCGAATCCCTGTTCCACCAAATATGTTCGCCCTTTCAGTCGTTGGGGCATTGTAATGTGACGGTCAATCTCACTATTCGTTGGTAAAAGAGTAGCCCAAGAGATGGCAGTGGGTGGTGATGACTAGTTGCCTTCCCTCTAGGTTATTACTACTATATATAGACTTCTAGCGCAGATAGCTCTCAAGTAGCTTTGCGCGAAATTCAAAGTAAACAAACAAGCCGTAATAATCGCTGCTCATGATAACCTTCGTGTAGCTTTGCGCGAAATTCAAACAAACAAATAAACAAGCTTTGTTTAAAATTCATTTCCTACCTTTAACGAAGCTAACACAAAATTTATCATAGCTCTTACTCTGCTACAGTTGTATCTGTTTATTTTCATAAGATAAACAATTGGTTCTCTATACCACCTGGAATTCATCTTAGTTTATATTTGACATATACATTTCATTTCTTGGTCAAGCATCATTCTTTATGCATTCAATAAGTGTGCACGATATTTCTTCTTATTGTATATATGAGTGCCATACATGAACTTTTATGAGATTTATATTTTCTCAGTTATTGAAGCATAAAATGCCTCAAATTGCTGCAAATGCGTCAGTTTAACTTATTTGTTAGGTTACATGTGTTTGCTTGTATATTGTTGGGCATAAAACTGCACAATGGGCTATCTGTGCTGTGCCATTACAACTCCTGAATGGTATGGCTGAGCAACTGGTGAGCTTTTAGCTTATAAACAAAGCAGACTGTCACGCCAAAACATGTCATGATTTACAACTTGTAATTAGACAAAACCGCCCCTTGTGTATAATTTCTGAATGACTTAAGTTAATACATAAGCAAGATTCTGCTGATCTTCATTATTTTTTAATAGATATAAGAAACTTAATTAAAACATTATGTTAAACTGTAGAGTTATTTTTCTTTTCAGAAACGTGTTAGTCAGTTAGTAGTGGAGTTTATACCAGAGGTGTGTAACAACAGCATTTCAGATCTAGCTTTCCTCTGCAACAACTCTCTGTTAGAGGGGGAGAGGGGATTGAGAAAAAGAGTTATTAAAATCTGACGTGATGTTAAATCACGTTTTTGAATGAATAAACTAAGTAATTATTGTAATATTTTTAAATATGTATTTTTGCTGTATTAAATAACAACAGTTATGTCTTTAAGGTTATTGATGAACCACTGTGTGGGTAAGGAAATTATCCTGCCTGTGATTCAACATTTCAAGTATAGTACAGAGTATGTAAAATAATTTTCTTTCTAAAACATTTATAATAACTAGCAGAAACTAGAAGTACTGCTAAAACATTTATGATGGTTGAGGGTTACGGCTTTTATGGTAAGATAAACACCCAGAAAGTTGAGAAAATCTCACGGTAAGCTCAGAAGACTATTGATCCCACTATATCACTAGGAAATACTACCTTCGTACTGACTGGATGCTAATAAAGTATGGCTCTATCAAGACAAAGCACCCAGCAATATGTATAAGTCTACATGCCAAACCCTCTGTAATAGTCCAGAACAAAAAGGTAATTCATACTTTAACAATCACATACAACTATCATGGAATTCTACTCCTTTGGGTTACTCGAATGGACTCTGGTCGACTGTGCACAATTGATGGACTTTTGAAAGCACGTAAAAAGAAGATGGACAGCATTGATCTCAGTGTACAAAATCTTCCCAAGGTGTAAATTGTTCTGCAGCAATAGTATGTAATCAGGGTCATTCCATAGGTGATGGAAGAAGAGGGTGTAAGACCTAGGCTTTCATCTTTGTATCGTTACCATAGATTGTGAATACTCCTCTGTATTATAAGGTGTCATCGTCTGGTGGAGACAAATGTTCTGAGTTATGGATAATAGCTGTTACATATTAACTATCCTGATAACAACGAAACTCGAGGGTTGTCATACTCTGATTATTAGCTTTTATAATATGATAACGAGGACATTTGATGTTATAATATTTCAAGTATTAACTACCACGATCTGCTAATGACAACAAGCAATGGTTACAGTATTATAGGTATTAGCTATGACGAACTGGTAATAACCGATGTTAGCTGTCATGTTTTGACATCATAGTTAAAAGTTATAATATTATATGTATTAATTGTTATGGTCTGACAGCTCACATGACTAATTTAATATTGGCTGACAAAACAGGATTCTTTCCCCCTGGTTCGCTTCCAGATGATGAGCCTGAGTGCCGACATGATGCCCCAGTACCAACAAGAGACTCCCAAAACTCCACCTCACATCCTTCTACACTATTGCGCCTTCAAAGCCATCTGGGATTGGATCATCTTGTGTCTCACTTTCTATACTGCCATCATGGTGCCCTACAACGTGGCCTTCAAAAGCAAAACAAGTGAAGATGTCAGCTTTTTGGTGCTTGACAGTATTGTTGATGTCATCTTCTTCATCGACATCGTTCTCAACTTCCACACAACGTTTGTTGGTCCAGGTGGTGAAGTGGTTTCTGATCCTAAAATCATCAGGATGAATTACTTGAAAAGCTGGTTTATCATAGACCTGCTATCCTGCCTTCCATATGATGTCTTCAACGCCTTTGACCATGACGACGACGTAAGTTGTTTTTCTAGTTTTGGAAGAATTATTTAAACATGGTGACAATAATTAACACCGTGCTCCACTGCTTTCGTTTGCTTTTCTACTTTACATTAATTTCTTAATATTTCTGACTAGGTTATCATACATATCCCCCCTTACCTTTTTTACCACCATTAGATGGTGTGAAAAAAATGATCAAAATATGAGAAACAACTCTTGTAATAAAATATCAGACATCTGATTATAAATTAAACTGTAAGCTTTATAGAGGTGTCGTTAAATACTCATTTAAATTTATCATTGTTTCTCAAGAGTGATATTTAGCTAAATTACGATAAATCCTCTTTAAAACTAAAACAACAAAGTAATTATTTTGCCATACAGGGCATAATTTAAAAACGCTTTACCAAACCAGTATTTTGGCAGAAGGTCTGTGGGTCCAGGGAGCAGTCAACACACTGTAATATTTAATCAAATCAAAAAAGAACGTATATCTTATAAATGTTCAGAAATGTTTGTAATTGTTGCTGTAAACTAAATATTAATAAATAGGATCATTACCAGTTGTCTCCTTCAAACAAGGACTCGATAGCCTGCCCAGTGCCTAAAGGTGGCCATATTACTGATAAGTAAATTATCCTGTTTCTTCTTATAGCAGTGTATTAATAGCTTGGTTAGTATTTAAAGGTGGCCATGTTACTGATATGAAAGTTATCCTGTTTCTCCTTCTAGCAGGGTATTGATAGCTTGGTTAGTATTTTAAGGTAATCATGTTACTGATATGAAAGTTATCCTGTTTCTCCTTCTAGCAGGGTATTGATTGCTTAATTAATGTTTAAAGGTGGCCATGTTACTGATATTAACGTAACTATGGTTATCTTTCAAAAAGGGTATTGTTTGACTGGTCAGTGCTTAAAGGTAATAATGTTAGTGGTATTAGCGTTATCGTGTTTTTCTTTCAAGCAGGATATTGATAGCTCTATTAGTAACTAAAAGCAGTTATGTTATTCATATAAGCGTTGTAACATTTCTTTTTTCAAGCAGGGTATTAGTAGCCTGGTTAGAGATCTGATGGTCATTTTTACTGATATTAACGTTCTTATGTTTATAGTTCAAGCTTGGTATCGGCAGAATGACTAGTAACTAAAGGTGGTCACGCTACTAGTAATGACGTTATCATGTTTTTCTTTCAAACAGGGTATTGGTAGCCTGGTCAGTAAGTAAAGTGAGCATGATACTAATATCAACGTCCTCATGTTTCTCTTTCAAGTAAGGTATCAGTAGCCTGGTTAGTGACTAATTAATATAGATTCGGATACTATAGATAATAACATTATCCTGTCCCCCTTCCAAAGAGGGTATTGTTAGCCTCCTTAATACTTTAAAGCTGGTCATGTTACTTGTACTAATGTTATCATCATTCTATTTCAGACAAGATATTTGTAACATAATCTGTACCTAAAGGTCATATTAGCGATATTAACGTTATCATGATAATATTTCAAGAAAGGTAGTGGTAGCATGATTTATGACAAAATGGGGTCCTATTACTAATATTAACATTCTCATGTTTCTCTTTCAAGAAGGATGTTGATACCTTTATCATTCATTTAAAAGTTTTTATGCTACTGAAATTACGTTATCAAAGTTCCGTTTCAAACAGGGTATTGTTAACCTGGTTTGTGACTAAACGTTGCCAGGTTACTGACATCAACATTACCACCTTTCTTCTTCCAGAAGGGTATCTGGAGTCTGGAGTCTTTTAACTTACTAACGGTGTTTATATTATTGATATTAATGTTATCTTGTTTGTCTTTCAAGAATGGTATTGGTAACCTGGTTCACTTTAAAGCAGGTTGTTTGCAGTTTGGTTAGTGGTTAAAGATAATCTTGCCACTGATATTAATATCATCTTGTTTCTATTTCAGACAGAGTATATGGGTAGCCTAGTTAGTGACTACAGATTCTTTTTTTCAGCAAGATAACCTGTTTAATAACTAATTCGTCGTAATACTGATATTAATGTTATCATGTTTCTCTTTCAACCAGCCTATTAGTAGCCTGGTAAGTATTAAACGTGGTCATGCTACTGATATGAACGATATCTTGTTTTTATCATTCAGACAGAGTATTAACAGCCTTGTCAGTTACTGAAGGTAGTTATGTTTCTGATATTAATCTTATCATGTTTCTGGTCATGTTACTTGTAATAACCTTATCATGTTGCTGGCCATGTTACTTGTATTAGACTTATCATGTTTCTGGTCATGTTACTTGTATTAACCTTATCATGTTTCTGGTCATGTTACTTGTATTAACCTTATCATGTTTCTAGTCATGTTACTTGTAATAACCTTGGCATGCTTCTGGTCATGTTACTTGTAACAACTTTGTCATGTTTCTGGTCATGTTACTTGTATAAACCTTATCATGTTTCTGGTCATGTTACTTGTATTAACCTTATTATGTTTCTGATATTAACTTCATCGTATTTCTCTTTGAAGCAGGGTATTGGTAGCCTCTTTAGCGCCCTGAAGGTGGTTAGATTGCTCAGACTAGGACGCGTCGTTCGGAAGTTGGACCGTTACCTGGAATACGGGGCCGCCATGTTGATCCTGCTGCTGTGTTTCTACATGCTTGTTGCACACTGGTTGGCCTGCATCTGGTACAGCATCGGTCGCAGCGATGCAGAGAACGGCTTTGTGTACAGCTGGCTGTGGAAACTGGCTAATACCACTCAGAAGCCGTTCTACTTCGACTTCTCCAATGAAACCTACAGGACAGAGCTGTCCGGTGGTCCTCCAAGAGGGACTATGTACGTCACATCTCTTTATTTCACTATGACCTGCATGACTAGCGTGGGATTTGGTAACGTCGCTTCGGAAACGGATAACGAAAAGGTTTTCACTATCTGCATGATGATTATAGGAGGTAACAAAAAAGTAGTAATTTTTTTGTCAGTAACGGTAAAAATCACGCAGACACTATTTCTTGTTTAAACACTTACTTTTCAAGCGGAATGATTTAATTAAGTGGTTAATAATTACTCAGAAAATAACACGCAAGTCAATGTAATTCTTTCAACGTGATGTAAACCCGTAAACAGTCTGATAATAAAATATGTAGGCATTTCTAGCATGATTGCAATTATTTGTTTGAAGTGAAGCACAAAGCAACACACACGATAGGTTATCTGTGCTCTACCCACCACGGGTATCGAAACCCGGATTCTAGCGTTGTAGGTCCGCAGACACACCGCTGTGCCAGTGGGGAACTTGATTGAAATTATACAAAATTATAAATGTAAGTGATAGACCGTACTTAAAGTAGTGGTGAATGCTGTTTAATCAAACAGTTACAGCAAATCTTTTCGTGAAACTTGTCTTCTCATACATATTCATTATATATTGTGTTTGGTCGGTTTCTAAAGAATCGATCAAAGGTATCAGAAAAGGTTCTATGTTGATGTTCTTATTGTGTTCCGTTCAACACACTAGATAGCTAACTGTTGTGTTGCTAATTAAAGAAAAGGTGTTATGTTAAGATAAGAAATATGTTATTTTATAATTCTTCGAAAATAAGTCTGTCATTGTTTCATGCTTTTTTTTTCAGCCCATTTTGATCAAATAATCGTGGTTAGCAAGGTTTAATGATAGTGATGGAACAATTGGTTTTAAAATGGGAGAGGTATGTTGTGGTGGAACAGTTGGTATTTAAAATTGGAGGTGAATGATTTTAGTGGAATAGTTGGTTTTAATATGGGAGAGGTATAATTATGGTGGAACAGTTGGTTTAAAACGGGAAAGGAATGATTGTGGTGTGATAGTTGGTTTTAATATGGGAGAGATATGATTGTGGTAGAACAGTTGGTTTAAAACGGGAAAGGAATGATTGTGGTGGAATAGTTGGTTTTAATATGGGAGAGATATGATTGTGGTAGAACAGTTGGTTTAAAACGGGAAAGGAATGATTGTGGTGGAATAGTTGGTTTTAATATGGGAGAGATATAATTGTGGTGGAACAGTTGGTTTAAAACGGGAAAGGAATGATTGTGGTGGAACAGTTGGTTTAAAACGGGAAAGGAATGATTGTGGTGGAATAGTTGGTTTTAATATGGGAGAGATATAATTGTGGTG